CTCAGGCAGGCGAAAAAGCTGCAGCGTATTTATAGAGGAGGCGATTCACCTGCTTTTATTTTTATCACTTATAACCAGATGGATTGTTGTCCCAGATGCAAGAGGGCAAGATCTTCAATATATAATAGATGAGATCCGCATCATTTTTAGCCTGACGAGGTAACTCAGGTAAACGTTTTAACTGTCTTGCAGCTTAATAAAGTCATGAGAAAGCTGCCCTCTGATTTGGGTTTCTATTATTTAACCATGCAGTGAATAGCCCTGTGTGTGTGTGTGTGTGTGTGTGTGCATCAGGACATTGTCTGTTCCAAGCAGCAGCAGCAAAAGCTCACATCATCACTTATTTATCAACTGTTTTGTACAGTCATCACTTCGGTGCTCGACAAATCAGCTTCAGCTCTGCGAGGCAACACCTCTGCGCTATGTTTAGCACGCAGAGAGATGAATGAACTTCTCCACACACACTCATCTGCAGACAAAACGCCGAGTCAGCGGCTGCCATGGCGATGGCTGAGCAGACGTGATGCAGGCCGGTGAAAGGTGAAGGTTGAAGGTCATGTGAACAAAAACAAGGAGGGTTGTGTTACTGGAGGGAAACAGGACGGACTCACGTGATCGATGTTGTTCTCCAGATCACTGGTGTGGACGGCTGTGCTGATGTTGTTGGTCTCCTGTGTGGAGGTGGGACATCGGTTAAGGTTTATTCACATCATCTCACCTTTGATCGCTGCTCACAGGACTACCTGGAAAGATTCAGTCACTGGAGCAGTTTGGTTGGGATGACTCGGAGGGAGGCTGTTGGGATGAGGGCTCTGGTTGTTAGTCTGGAAGGGTTGAGAGATTTATTTCAGATTAAAAAAAAAAAAAAGATGCATCAAGACACATATTCTGCCTCCTTCCTCTGCTGCATCTGCCTCTAGGCTTTTCTAACATAAATATTTCTGTGCAGTGTTTCCAGAGATGCTCATCATATAACTTGCAGCACAGGCAGTGAAATAATGCCATGTCATGTCAACAGCTGAGTGAGAGGTGCAACTAGCTGCCTACTTGCTGAAACGCATCCTCAGGCTTCTGCTGCGGATCCTCTGGGAGTTGCTCCACTTCCACAAACACGCTGTCCGGCTCCGTTTGCTCCTGCAAGGAATTATCCTCCAGGATGTGAGTGATGCCGGAGTCCACGATCTCCGGGAGGATGCCGTGGCAGACTGCCGAGAGAGCCGCGACTAGCAGGACGGCGGCCGGCTTCATGCTGCTGCTGCTGCTGCTGCTGCTGCACTCTGCCGAGGGTGTGGCGCTGATGCTGAGGACCACAAACGGCGTCACCACGGCTGCTGTTTCCGTCACTGCAGGCTCGTTACATCACACGGTAACAGAATAATAATATAAAACTCACATTAATGTTCGTGTAAGTAGTTCTACTGCGGTTAAAATAGCTCCGCGGGTTTTTAGATAAACTTAAACCCGAACGCCTCAAACGTAGTTCCGGTCGAGTTTAAACACCGTTCCGAAATTAGTTACGCGAGGTAAACTGAGGGTAACCATAGCAACCATACTTTAAGCTAGTCGTTAGCTAGCCGTTAGCTAGCTTAATTAAATCATAGATTGTATATGAATTCATACATTTATTGTTTCTTATACAGTCTATGGTTAAATAAACCAAACACCAGATGAACAAAAAAAACCCAAAAACGTAAAATTGATGTCATTGCCAAACAGGCCTTCAGTTTTTATATAAGCTAAGATTACGATGCTAAATGTTAGCTTGTGATTCGCTATTTAAGGGAAACGTTAAGGAGAAATTCAACCTATTGGCCAATTCTCCTTAAAACTTTATAACAAAACTTTCAAACTGAACTTTTACTCTGTAAAAAGCGAAAAAATCTTAATTTAAAAAAAAAATTAAAAAAGTAGCAATCTAACAACAACAATAATTTTAAAAACAAATTAAAAAAAATGCCTACTGTGGTAATATAACCCAAAATGTGGTCTTAAGAGGTTTATACATTACTTTCTAATGGATTCACAGGTAAAATTGTGCCCCAACTCTCTGGAACTTCATGATTTGGGTGAACTGATCCTTTAAGCCGGTCCTTCCTGCGCCTGTAGTTCCATGAACCGACCACACGGGGGCAGAATCTGCTTTCACAGTAAACGGGCACTCGGACTCCACATTGTGCGCACCTTTTTTTTTCTTTTTTGCAGAGTTTGTTCAATGGTTTTGTGCATGTGCAGCGCAGATTAGAGTTTGTGCTGACACGCTGTGGACGGTGGATAAGAGTCTGGGCTCTGGCGCCCGGTGGTCTCATCCAGGAAACAGGAATCACACCTAAATAAAAAAAAAAAAAGCCGCAGTGTTTTATCAGGTTTGGCATTTAGTTAGTGATTGGTTTTTGGGCTGTCCTTTAATAATAAATGTTGTAGGTAACTTTAAAAAAAATATTGATTTAGACTTCCGGTGTAGTTGGTGAATTCCTCCGCCCAGCTGTCAGTCAGTTGGAGGCAGGTGGAGGGACAAAGTGGAGAACTGCCTCTGAGTGGATTCAGCAGCAGCAGCAGCAGCAGCAGCCCGGTAGCCTCTCTGGGTTTGTCCCTCTCCGGAGCACCGCCCTCCAGCGCCGGAGCCAGCTGCGCGGACAGACTGCTGCCTGTCACACTGACTGAGGACTCGCTTCACGCCGCAGTTTGGCCGAACACACACACACACACACACACACACACACACACTGGAAGGAAGAAGTTCACACCGAGATATGAGGTGAGTCCTTTTGTTTTTTTCCACTCTTTGTTCTGATCGTGGCTGTTTTGACCTGACAGAACTTCTGACTTGTTCCTGATTGCCAAAAAAAAAAAAAAGGAAAACACGTGTGTCTGTGGGTCACTTTGACAACACAAGTTCTGACCATGAATGAATGTCTGTGGATCCGTTGCTGGTTGTTGGTTCTGCTGGTGTTTGTCTCTAAGCAAGGTGTTTGTGATGGACTTTTCCAAACATGTGCCAACGTTCAGCTGTTATCATGACTCCTGATTGAGCGCTGTCTCTGACGAGTCAGACATCTGGGCTTGCCTCTTTACTCCCTGATAACTAAAAGGTTATCTCGACTCACCCAGCCCTCATTTTTCTTTTTTTCTTTTTTGTTGTCATGCTGATGCCATAAATCACTTCTGAGCTGCTTTTTTTTGCCTCAAAGCCCTCAGAACTGGAAGGATGGCTTTTCTATAAGTTCAAAGGCAGTAAAGAGAAGCAGGAACAGGTAATGCTGGGTTCATCCGGCCCACAGCTAGTGCAGGACAGGTAACTCTGTCTCCACCTGCTTCTTCTTCTTCTTCTTCTGACACAAACTACACGATGAAGAAAGGTGTGGCCCTCAGCGAGTGACAGAAAGGCCCTGTTCATGTTTTCTAGTCCGACTTCCAGCTGTCTGGTAAACAAGAGCTTCCTGATGAAGCAGGAGAAGACAAACAAATGTGGAGGAAGACGCCGTTCACCGGGACTAATCTGTTTGTCCTCCTCCTGTTTCAACATCTTGCTCGAGCGCTCTTGTGATTCATGTTTCTTGCAAGACGATGCGTGATTCATTCAGCACATTTTTGTGAGTGAGTGGGGGGGAGGAGGTCAGACGAGTCACACAAACAGCGGTTCCTTCCCACTGCTGTATGAGCAATCACTTCCTGTGTGTTTTATGAGACACAACCAAGTCTTCTCCATCAAACTGTAAGAGTCCAGTTCTGCCGGTGGAGTCCACACGCTGATGGAAACACATGAAGAACCTCAACATTCAGCTGCAACCGCATTATGTTCCCCTCACGTTTCGCTCATCCAACTGCTGCGATATGAAATAAATGGTAAATGGCGCCCACTTATGCGGCACTTTTCTGCCTCGACGGCGGCACCATATGGAAAAACACCGTAAACAGCCAATTGCACAATAAGTCTTCTGGCGAAGGCTTTTGCCAAATAGCTCCGAGGCTTATGTTCTAAACATGCTGGGTGATTACAGGTTTAACTCTGATTCATGTTCTTCTGCTTTCAGTCACTATGGAGCTGTGAGAATATACAAACATCTGGGAGATAACAGGGCAGCGCGGAGCAGCACAAGTTCACTCACATTTACATACAAACATCCACGTTTAACAGGCTGCTGCTGCTGCCGAGATGTCTGGGAAAAAAAAAAAAAAAGTCTGGGCTTCGGTAGCTTACAACTGCAAATTCCAGTGCCAGCCTTTCATTTTTAGTTTGTAATTACCAGCTTTACTGGAGTTTAACTTAACAACAGTGTGTGGAGATGCAAACAGAGCGGAAAGCTGCACAGGCCCCCCTACAGCATGAAAAAAAAGGGTTTAATTTACTCATCTTTTTGATATCTAGACTGAAGATCACAGCTCAGTGTGTGTCAGACTCCACACAGTTACATCAGCTCACCTGTGAGATCTGACTGCTTCAGTGTTGGTTAGTGGATACAGATTCTTGCGTACAAGTAAAGATATGATTAACACTCACTAATTCACAGAGGGTTGCTCAAATAATGAAATGATTTACTGTCCTTGTGAATGAATTATTGGATCAGACTAATGAGAAACGCGAGGATGTCGTGCTGCGAACGAAAACAATGCAGATGTGTTGCACGCAGCCCGATAGCACCGAGCCCAGAGTGGAAGCTTGTGCTCATTATTGCCAGAGAGGCGTTGTAAACTTTCTCCTTCCTCTGTGCAATATGTTTCCTTCCTTGTTCCACAGCATAGAACCGGACTCGTGTTGTCCGAGCATTGGCAGCACAAAAGAGATAGGAACTCTCAGAGGTAGGCGGGGGCTCGTTGTTCCCTGTGGCCTGCTTCTCCATCATCAAACCAAAAAGTTTGCTGCGATGTCAAACAAAAAGACACGATGCAGTGCCACCGCTTTATCTGATTCTCTCTGCCACTTCAGGTCAGGCTAAAACAGGACATTTTATTATTATATTCCTGTTTTCTTCAGAGCTTTGGCTGCATTGCAACGTGAGGACGTTGAACATGTAAGTGGAGCTACAGAGGAGACGTGGCTGCAGTAAACCCACTCCTGCAGGATATCATTACCAGGTTCCCTCTGGCAGGGGCAGGACCACGTACAGAAGGGTCTAGAACACATCTTCGCCATGCTTTAAAATCGCAGAGGTGGAATTTTACGGAGGCGGCCCTCCTCCGGGCTTTGATCTGGACAGGAAACCAGACGTGCTCCGCAGGAAAAGTCTGGATATGAGGCGTCTCGGGGAGCGCTTTGTTGCAGCCGTGCATCACTGTGATTGAATTTCACTGCCAACACAGGCCTGCTGCAGCAGCCAGTGTCCTCCAGTCATTTTAACGTGTTGTTCTGTGAGAGTCTTTGCTGCTTTTCGGTGAGATTAACGCAGGAGAACCCAGAACACCTGACTGTTATCAAGTTGTCAATTTTTAACGTTTTTCTTTTGAGCTTCTCTTGTTGACATGATCTCTTGTTTACATGTTCTTGCCCTGCTGCTATCTTTTCAGGTCATGTGCTGTTTTCTTCTGCAACATGACCCTTGTCTATTCTGAGCCTGGCTTTACTGAGTTTTGGCTTATAGTATCTGCTATTCCTGCCAAGCATTAACGCTGCTGTCTAAACCTGCACTGTGCCCCTCTGTGATGTGGATCCATGAAAGACAGCCTCTGATCTTTGACCCTCAGCTTGCCTTGTGGTTTGCATTTACTACATGTTTTTTTTTTTCGCTTAAGAGGATCCATGTTTGGATGGTTACACGAGTCTGTTCTATGGTAATTTTTATGTTTTTACACCCTCTGTGGTGATAAAATCCAGCAGATGGATGTATCTGAACATGTGTGCAGCTATCCAGACTGTGAGCTGCTGGTGTCGGGAGCTGTGCAGGTGTAACTCAGTGCTCAGTGTGTCCAGATAAATCATTGTCTAAGAGGAACCATGTGGTGAACACACTTCCTGGGTCCGCTGGGCCTGCAGACAGCAGGTGCCAAGCTTTGCCAGCCTGCTCCTTTTTGTGAAAATGTACAGTTTTCTCCTCTGAAGTTGACTGACATTTACTGTCAACCTCGCTCATGAGATCTTCTTTGTTTTGGCAATGCTGCCCGAACACGCAGCCAGATTTCAGAGGGCTTAGATAATACTATGGAGCTCTGGGGCCTGGTGGAGGGCAGAGCCCACAGGCTGAAGTCCACATGAGTGCAATGTTTTGTGAGGCACGCTGCCGGCTTATCAGGCCTACAGAGGGTTCCTTCCTGGTTTTCTTCGGTCCGGTCTGTAATTACAGTTGCTGGCTCGCTAAGCTACAGTATGTGCATTTCCCAGCATTCCCAATGTTTTCCTTGTGTTGTCAGCTTCCTATTGTATTCTGATAGCCTGAAGCTGTGCAGGAACGCATGGAGACGGCGTGTCATCGGTTTGATTCTCCTGTCGGTGTCTTTGCAGTTTTGTCAGACTTGAAAATATGTTTTTAGTATTATAGGTCGCTTCTGGCAAACACGTGGCCCCTGCTGGGTGATTTTATAATGTGCATTCCTAAGTTATTTATTGTCAGCAACTAAATATCAGCTATGAATTGATCTTCGGAGGGTTCAGAATGGGCGTGTTGGGTGACTGTAATCACAATATGTCCTTATTTTTACCTTATTTGACCGAAATATATGTATTCTGACCATTAGAAAAACTGAAATTTCTATTATGCTTGAATAAATATAACCCAAGTTAACAAAATTGGTTAAAAAAAATGTTTTTTTGCTCTCAATTCTTATTATTTCAGCACTTGTTAAAGCACCAAAAACTCCTGTGTGCAGGAAACACCTCACTTACTATCAAATCCAGGTTTAGATTATTCTTTGAGCTCCACATAAACAGAGAGACATGCTCCATTATTACAATAAACACGGTCGCTCTGGTTTATTTTGCGTCCGTCTCTCAAGCGCTGTACAGCATCTGTGACTATATGTTTGTGGTTTATTTTAAAGATCTTCCGTAGGAACGAATGAGCTTGAGGCCTCAGACAGGGTGGGGAACTCCAAAAATATCACTCAGCCGTGTAAAAACAAATCTGTGTACAATAAAACTTGCGTCGCACTGAGGAATGTCGGAGGATACGTGTTTTTTATTTTGGCCGCCCAGGTGTAACAGGTGCATTTTTCACATTCCTTCCATTCCTCCTTTATCGTACTGGAAGCTGATAGCCTGCTGTGGCTCTCAAACACACATCAGTGTCGTTATTTACATTCACTCAGTCGCATTGTCTTCCTATGGATCTCTGCTTTGGGTAATCTGTCACAGTATAAGATATATGCTGGCGGTTAGTTTACAGCTGTTTTACCTGCCGAGAGAGTTTTCTCATGTCCTGGTGATTCCAGTTTACATCCCCCCTCGGCTGCTGCAGCCTGTGAGCTCATCCATAGCTCAGTGTCCCAGCTGCAAACATCACACCCTCAGTGTCTGATCGTCATCTCAGGAGACTTTAATTATACATTGCTCTCTACCACATCATCTCACCACATTCAGCCAGGATGTGGACCTGCTGTGTGCGGACACAGAGGATGCAATATTACTTAATTATTGTTATTTTCTTGTACTTTCTTTCTATATTTTTGGATGCTGCTGTGGCGTGTAAATTTCCCCCAATGGGCGATCAATAAAAATGATTCTATTTCATAATGATTGCACAAAAGATGATAAAATATATGAAGTACCACCAGTAAGTAGTGCTTAAATCGAAAAACAGAACTGACAAACTACTGACATCGCAAATCGCATCACTCTTCACTCTTTTCAAACTGTCCACGACTTTTTCAACGGGCTGCAAGGTGGATTGGTGGTTAGCATTGTTGCCTCGCAGCTAGAAGGTCGCCAGTTCGCGTCCCAGTCAACCGGGATCTTTCTGCGTGGAGTCTCCATGTTCTCCCCGTGCAGTGTGGGTTCTCTCCGGGTTCTCCGGCTTCCTCCCACAGTCCAGAAACATGAGAAACATGTTGAGGTTAATTAAATTGTCCGTAGGTGTGAATGTGAGTGTGCTTGGTTGTCTGTCTCTAAGTGTAGCCCTGTGATAGACTGGTTACCTGTCCAGGTGAACCTGCCTTCAGCTGGGATAGACTCCAGCCCCCCATGACCCTGGTGAGGATTAAGCGGTGTATAGATGATGGATGGATGGATGGACTTTCTCATCTTAATCAAATTACTTTTCTAAACAGACAGAAACCTAAAAATCTTTTTAGAAAAAGCATTAAACGCTTCAGCTGCGATGTACGATGTGCGAGCGTACGCGTATTCTTTCCGCTTCATCTGTCATTAGTTCCATTTTTACAGCCGCTCTGTGGGTTCGCTCTGTCTGCCCACAAGTGACTTTCCATTCTGTCAGCCTGCGATGGTGAAGTCATCGCACTCCGTCAGAGACGATGTAGTGTGAGCGCCGAGCATCGACTCGCCTCTGAAGACAGTGAGCGGTACCTTTTCATTAGTCCTCGCAGGCTCGTACAACACATGGTTCCAATAATTGCGCCTGCTTTACCGCTTTACTTGGACTGAAATGTGAAGGCATAAGTGCGGTCAACATGTCTTTATTTGAACTTTCCACCAAAAAAAGGCACGGGGGCGTATTGAGCGACGGCCAAAGTTGAGAATAAAGACATATCAACGTAAAATTGGTATAATCTGAGAAAACACAGCCGCAAAGAACAGCTACGAAAATTCACCTTCTTTTGGCAGTAATGTATGCCTCCTTATATTATTTTAAAGTCAACAGAAATGACTACACAGAGGCTCTATGGAGGATAGTATGCAGCCACCAAACACTGGAGAACAGACAGCAATTTTCCAATCACAGTCTCCCGCCATGCATGAAAGATTAAAGCACCTGCATCGTATATCATGACCGCCGCAGTCATCGCTCGTCACTCGTTGACAATCAGAGTAAATTCCTTAAAAGTCTGTGGTGGTGGTCCTGTGACTGGCTGCCTGGTGGAGAGGGTTGGGAGGCTCTTCTGGCCACGTGGCAGAGGAATGTCAGCCCTCTGAGTGAGGCTGGATGTTTGCTGTGAAGGCCTCGGGGGGTCCACAGGGTCTACTGACAGCTTTTTGAAGCTACAGAGGTGTGCAGAACAGGCTCAGGGCCACAGCAGTGCTACGGCCTGGTTGGTGTTCCTCTCCCTGATCTGTAAAACAACACCAGCATCAAAACAGGATGCAAACACGAGTGCAAACAGGATCTTGTGCAAATTAATATGCTAATTTTAGTCTGAGGACAAATGGTGTTGCTGTGGAAGCAAGATTCAAAATGGGAGCATATTCAAAGCACAATCAAACATGTTGTGACCCAAGACCTACTGACTGACTGGTGAACGTAGTGATTAGCTTCGTTTTTTATGGCTTCCCACCATGAAGCCACCTGGGTGTGACAGTAACAGTAGATTACTGTGGGGCTGCTGTTCCTCCACAGCCAGCCTGACCTTTCCCCCTAACCGTGCCCATCCCGCTCCATGGGACATTAAAATATCAAAGGCAGACTTCTCCCAAAACTCACAGAAGCTGTGGTCTCCACCCAAGCGAGCACACACACACTTAATGCAGAAAACGTCCACATTTTGCTTTGATGTGGAGTTCTGGCACAGATTTTTTTCTGGCCCGATTTCCAAAATGCTTGATGGTTGATTGGAGCAAAGAGAGCTCGACGGTGTATTTTATTCTGTCAGTTCAGCTCTATTCTGACGCGAGCGTTTGTTTTAGTAACACGCAGGCAGCAAACCTCAGTGCAAGGTGTACTGGTGAGCGTGCACACTTTGATCACATCTATCAGTCTGCGTTAGTTGAGTTTGTGGTACAATTAGTTTCAAAGCCTGCTGAACCCATTGTCTGGATTTCTGCTGGAATGAAAAATACCACAAGACTAAAAACTCTTCCTGTCCACTCGTCCGTGGTCAGTGCTGCACACCAGGAATGAAATGTGCTGAACAGAAACAAACAGTGGCTCATTGGATTGTAGAAAAACACACATTTTACCCACAATTTCTAAAGCAGAAATGTCATTTACAGTCGTGACTCGATAATCCGACCCTTAACAATCCTAAACCTGCTATCCGACAGGTTTTTAGGAATGGAACCCATAAAAACAGCCTTAATATAGCGACAGCCTTGGATTCTGACTCTGACATGACATTTAATGTCACCAATCAGGCGTATTATCTGACTGAACAATCCCACAGATTGGCTACGTTCACACTGCAGGACTTGATGCTCAATGAGGATTTCTTTGTGACTTCCTTCACGTTTCCAGTTCAATGCGACTTGTATGTGATCTGCTGTGTGAACTTCATACGAGCCAAAAGTGTCCCGCATGCGCAGAAGAGGACACGACGACGTCACACGCAGCGAGCGTGCTCAGTGTTTACGGAAGTAAACATGGATGGTAACGGTGGAGCGTATCTTGCAATTTTAACCTTTTTTTTTAGAGTAGTTTTCCAACCGGAGCCAGCACATTTACAACGTCATCGCCATGGTTGTCATGGTATTCTATCCCGCCGCCATCGCTGCCACCGATGGAGGAAACAGAAGTGTGAGCGCTAACTAAACTAGCATCAGCAGCCAAGTACTGCCTGTGTGTTCTGGACACTTCCACCCCGTCAGAGCGCTGCCCCGGGGTGGAAGTGTCCCCCGACCTCGCTGAATATTCTGATATTCATCAATAATCGGATCTGTGTTGTTCAGACTGTCATGAAAAGACCTGATACAGGTCGCATAGGAGAAGGAAAAAAAAAATTGGATTTGGGTCACTTTAGCTGCTGTCAGAACGTATTCACCTTTGACATCAACCAACAGGCCCGTGCACGAGCGCACCGGTCAGTTAGGTGTGAAATCCAGTGATGCGTAGTGTTCTAACAATACACTAGTTATTATAACAACTATGAACAATAAATATTAACAACTAATGAGCCTTCCAGCATCAAGCCCTCCTTGTATCTGGACCTCCGTCTTGACAATCCGACAGCCTTGATATCCGACATGAAAGAGGGTTCTACATTTAGTGTCGTGTGTAAACTCAACTGTTTGTACATAAAGACTCAACAGTCTTTCATTATGTAAACTGCATGCATCATTCAGTAACTGCAGCATACGTCTCGTTGATTTTCCATTACATTCACCGTTATCACTAATAAGATGACTTTTATCTGGACCGCTTTGTAAAATCCTTACGACTCCACGTCTACAGTGTTCGGCTGAAGTCCATTCAGTTTTAGATAAGAACCGATATCTCGTAGCAGGACAATATCACTTTTACTATTTGATTTTAAGCAGTTTTGTTCTCTGTAAAGCTGCCACTGAACCTCGAAGCTGTTAAAAAGTTCTTTTCTGTACCACGTAGAACCACAAACGGCTCCATTTATAGGCTCCCATGGTTATTCCTCCATAAAGCACACGTAGTAAATATGCTCGACAGCTGCCTGACGTTGACAGACGGCCTCATTCTCCTCTTTGTGCTCCATTTTTCTTCCCAGTACGTAACTCACGGCCCTGTCTGTGCTTGTAACGTTATCTCGCTGATGTGGGTGTAAGCTTGCTCTGTTTCAAAATGCCTGTTGACTTAGGAGTCTTAGTGAGGAGTGGTACTGATTGTCCTCTAATGTAAAGCAATTCGTTACGGTAAGCCCGGAGCTGTGCGGCGGATAAACCGCAGCTGGTTTGTCAACTTACCTCAAGTCCAACATTCTGATCTAATAAACAGTTTAAATGGGTTGATGCATGTTGGGTTTTGTCAGGTTAATAATAGAAAATGGAAAAAACACGAGCAGCGTGAAGCCATCTGTGAGAGACTGCTGCCTGCCACGGGATGACATCACACTCTGTGTCTTGCCTCCTCAGACTGGGCATGACGGTGCGAGCCAAGCCGAGGGTGTAGCCACATCTGGCAGAGAGCGCCGGAGCGAGCAGGAGCCTCAGACTGTCTGCTGCAGCGGGGGAAGATGGGAGAGACAGAGGAGGACAATGTGGGGAAGCTGTTTGAGAGCTTTTTCCAGGCCTCGACCTGCAAAGGAGCGCTTCAGGCCTTCAACGTCCTCTGCAGGCGTCTGGACCTGGACCCTGCGGAGCACAGCACCTTCTACAGCGGCCTGAAGGCCAAGGTCACCTCCTGGAAGGCCAAAGCGCTGTGGAGCAAGCTGGACAAGAGGATGTCGCATAAGGAGTACAAGAAAGGCCAAGCCTGTGTGGGCACCAAGGTGAGTTTAATTATCGTTAATAAACAGTTCCATAGAGGGAGATGAAGGTGATGGATTTACAAATAGCAAAGCAACACTGATGTGACGTATGGTTTGCCAAACTGCATACGTGTATATTACGTTACTGCTGGCTGATTTCCAAAGTACACCATAAACTTTTAGATTTATTTCCTGGAGCGACCCCACGGCCGAGCGCTCGGGGCTGCTGAGTCCTCGGTTCAACTTCCAGCTGACCGGATCTTTGCTTGATTTCTTTCCTCTGCTCCCACATTTCCTGTTTCTACTGCACCATTACAATAAAGGCAAAAAACAAATAATCTATTAGCAAAATGACATGTTTCTTACTTTCCTGGTATCTTTTCAGTTTGGTGTGGAAGTCAGTCATTTGTACTGTGATTTTGAGAAAGGTGGTTCACTTCTATTCTGGACTCGAAGAAACACGACATCCTTTTCACACCTTTATTATTTGTTATATCAGACCTTGACTGTTGGATCCTCTTTATATTTAGCAGCTAAAAACACAGACAGTCCTGTCCTAAACCAACTCATCTCAAGCACGTTTCTTCAACTTCATTTTCATCGTATGAAAAACAAAAGTGTTTTGGAAAACAATCAACACACCTACAATGTTAAAGGTATTTTACCTCAACATTTTCTGAGTGTTTTGTTGTTGCTCTTGCTGCATTTTTTGCTCGCTGTGGCCTAATTCTTCACTGCGTTGTAAAGTTTTGCAGCTCTATGGAAACAACACAACCGCTGCTAGAAAGGGGTCAAAATGTGTTTTCTACAAAATATCAAAGATACAACATCATAAACTGAAAGAAAAAGGAAAAAACAAAAGTTGAATTTATGCTAATTTTTTGTTAAAAAAAGACAAAATACAAACAAACTTGGAATAAAAGCATTTTTTTTAAAGGTGCCAACAGGTGTTATCCCACAAAACTAGAAGATTTTATGGGTCGACATACTCGACATTTTACTTCTCAAATACTTTTTGTTTCCGTACTTGTCTGCTCTGTGTTCAGCAGTTCAGCCTCCTTCAGTCCAAACGTTTTTAGAATATTTGACTGTTGGTCACAGTGGAGTCAATAAAAGCTTCATGGCTGCACTGATGAGAAATTCTTTTGCTTTTTACTGAATCTTGTTTGAGCAAATAGTTTATTTTTTAAAGAGACGAGTCCAGTAAAGTGATTTTGTCGTTTATTGGCTTTTGGAAAGTTGAACAATGGGAAGATTGTTTGTATTTTTATTGATAAATGGTGCAATTTATTTATTTATTTTATTCCAGAAAGCATGCCTTTCAAACCTAGCAGGGTGTTTTGGGGGTTCGGAGGTTTTTGGAAGGAATTTTTGGGACGTCTTTTCTAAAATGTCACAAGGTTCATGTCGTACATTATTAAAGTTAATGTTTCATGATTCAGGAAGTGTCCTTGTGACTCTACCACCCGTTGTTCCTTTTTTGTTCTGACCAGCTGACACAGTGGGTCAAGTATGGTCGTGGACATCCCTTCAACCTCTACTTACTCAGACATAACACTCGCTGTTTCACTGCAGGTAGAGCTCTGGACAGGTGCTATGTCATAAAATAATTGAAATGAAAGCATCCTGAAAACAACTCATAGACAGATGCGACATCAAACAAATGAAAAATCACAAGACTGAAACATACAGAGCCCCATGCGTTCACATAATCAGATGAAACTAAATTGCATTTAATTACATTTAAAGCCACAGAAAAAAAAAAGCACAGCAGCTGTGCACTGCTTTGTGTAACTTCACAACCACAAAAATGTCGTCACATTCAGAGAGCAGACATGTAAGAGTTCTTCTTCCTGCGTTTGTAATCTGCATCTCGTGTGCATTTAGGAGCCGTTCTTCAAGAGCATCACACTAGCAATGGGACCAGGGAGGCGTAATAGAGACGGTGTCCGGTGTGAGTGGGGGGTTGGGGGCAGCAAAGGTGATGAGCGAAGGTGGAAAACCTGGAGGAGTGTGATTACCTTTCAGCCATCAGCTGCACCCAGCCTGAGAGAGTGTTTTCACTGCACAGAGAAACAGACAGCATCACTCAGCAGCTATGATTATTTGGCCCCAGTTACACTGAAAGCGCGCTCTGCTCTTTATTGGCTTTTCCTAAAAGGCTGGAGCCGGGCCCAGGTTATTATTAAAATGTGTTTTAAATGCTTCAGTGTGAACTCCGTTTTATAGGTTGTGTCTGATTGAAGCCAACACCTAAATAGGAAATAAGAGAGTGAAAGATTTTTTAAAGAAAGTGTGACTTTCTTACACCTCTGAGCCCAAACTTTAAGGTCAGATTTCGTAATTCTGACAATCGACAGGCTTGTGTTGTAAAATAGAAAGTGGCACCAGCACAGTAAGCCAGATGTACAAATAATGGATTGTGTGCATTATATGAAACTTGCTGTGAATTTACGAGGTTGCCTTTTTTTTTTTCTTCTAAAAGCCTGAGATTTAATGAGCTGCTTTCATGTGTACAGTGTTTTAATTACTCACAGTGCCGGCAGTCTGCTTTTACTTGATTCATAATGTCTCTCCCCTGGAGAATCACAAGGTGATGACTCGTTTTTATAACGGCTCAGCTCTCCGACACAGACAGATGTGAAATCACTCAGCACCTCTTCTTCATGTCGGTGCTGGTGCAGCAACTTTTTTAAAGGAAGTGATGTCATCTGAGTTTTATGGCCTGACGCAGCTGCAGCGACACGCAACCACGGCGAGCGTCTTCCTCATAAAGTTTTACTGCGTTCAACAAAATCTGTCTTTGTATATGATCCATGCTGTGATATGATTCTCAGATCTCTGTGACACAGTGTGCACCTCGTAATAATCTGTATGTTAAAGTTGCAAGATTCACTAAATTCATCCTTGAGCTCTTCTTCTTTTCTGCTTGTCCTGGTTCATGTTGGCTTTTGGTCTGAGAAATCATTTGGAGGAAGGTGTTGAGCATCACCTTTGAGCAGGAACAAATAAAAATCACGTCAACTTCTGCTGGAGGTCAAACTCTCACGGTGCCTCTGTTATCTCAGGGAGG